CAGATTTTTTTTTTTTTTTTTTTTTAATCTGGTGACATGGAGCAGTCCACTAGTGAACTAAATATTTGACTCTGGAAAGTGGATGGAAAGACAGGTTTTGGAATCATTTTCATATTAATTAATTACTAAAATGGAAGGAGTAGATGTAACTACTCAGAACTTGCTGGATTCAGAATCTTGGATCATAGCTTTATTAGAGAGACAAAGGAGAAAAAAGGGATGCAGTGAAGTAGATGTTGCTCTATATCTTCGTTTATGCTGTCTTGAACTTTACATGTGTTTTCACTAGTCTGTGGAATTCTAGCTCACTCTTTACACAGTATTTTGTTGCCATTGTGTCCTTTCCTTGTCTGTTTTCTCTTTATTAATTACACCTGTTTTTAAAAGTTCTTCATTCTTTCATTGGAGTTTCAGAAGATAAAATCATGTGTTCAGTCTGCAAACTTTAACCAGACTGCTTTAAAAGGTGACAAGTCCTCTTGAAACTTCAAGTCAGATTTGAGGTTTATTCTCTGGAGCAAGGGAACCAGAGATTTTATTAACTGAGGGGATATTAGATATAGTGGAAGGGAACCCATTATGCAGAAATTAAGTGAAATATGTAAATACTTACTATTGACATACTTCTTTCTTTTTTTTTTTTTTTTTGCCTTCCCCCACCCACACATCCAGCTTCCAGAGCAATGCAGCTAGGCTTATGTATTTCACCTAACAGTTTGGAAGATTCTTTACAGGGCTATCTGACAAGCCCAAGAGGTGGAAAAACAAAAACCAGCAAAATCTAAATATGCTGATACCAAATCCCCTAAAAAACAGGTTGGCTGAAAGCTTGACCTGTATTCACAAAGCTCTTAATAGACTTTTGTGCTCCACTTTTAAATCTGAGTATTCTAGTCAAGGGTAAAAAATTTCTATCCTGAAAGGGATTTCCAAGATAGGCGATCTAACACAGCACTTCAAAAGAAATGAGAAAAATAAACACATATGTAAAACAAGAATAGGATGCTATGCAAAAGGGAAAAGGGGACTATGTTCTTTGAGATTCAAAATATAAGAGTAGAATGGCAAAAATAAATCGGAAATTTAAAAGACATAATTAAAATGAAAATAGAAAAATAAGGAAAAAAATAATAGAGTCAATCGAGGAGGTCTGCTCTCTAGTAAGGATAAAGAAGAAAGAAGAATGAATATAGGATAAACAAATGAAAGGTGTTCTAGAAATAGAGGTAAGGGAACCAGCAGTTAGTGTAATGGCTATGTCGCTGGACTCCCATGTAGTCGACCGCGGTTCGCGTCCCGGACACGGTGGCTTAAAACTCACGCCGGGTGCGTGTGCGTGCGTGCCCAAGATCCCGAGAGGAGAATGGAGGAGAAGGGATTGCGGCGTGACCATCCCCCCTGGGGGTGATTTCTCGCTTTCTGTCTCTATGTCTCTCTCTGTCTGTCTGGTGAGCGCACACACCCTATAGCGAAAATCTCTCCAAAAAAAAAAAAAAAAGAAAAGAAATAGAGGTAAGAAAAGAGAAGCAAAAATAAATAAATAAAACCAAACAAATCATCGAAGAAAATTTCCTTGTGGGACCAGCAGTTGGTGTAATGGCTATGTCGCTAGACTTCCATGTAGTCGACCATGGTTAGAGTCCTAGACCCAGTGGCTTAAACTCATGCCGGGCACGTGTGCGTACATGCCCAAGATCCTGAGAGGAGAATGGAAGAGAAGGGATTGTGGTGTGGCCAATCCCCTCTGGGGGGTGATTTCTCTCTTT